AAAAAAAGAACGCAACGAATCACGCTTCGGCGTGTCACTCACGCCGTAGTATACTCTCTGTTGTTCATACGGTATATGATACGTAAATAATCCAGCACACTCTTCTCTATTACGTTTACCACACAGCTTCAACAAGCTGGACACGATTAACGACGCTTATATGCATTTAAGATTACATTTTCTTTAAAAATTGGTATATATCTTTATGCATTTCTAGAAAAATGGATTTACAAATCTATTACTATTAAATTGATATGCCATTAAACATTTTCGAAAACGCAATACATTTTTCTGATTAGCAACATCACAATGTATTTACATTTTGTATCTGTAACAATATAAATTACAGTCCTTTAAGGCCATTCTACAATGCAATATAATAAGAAATAAGCAATAAGATTTTCAATTGATATTTACCTAATTCCATTGGATCCTCCATTGAAGAAGGAGAAAATCGTTTTTAAAACCGAGCGTTTACTAAGTCTTTACGATTTTTGTGACGGCTTGGACATAGCAACCATACGGAAGCGGAGTATCGTTGCTATATATTTTTAACGTAAGCCATTACAGATTACGGAACGGGGCATGCTCGATACTACTCATCACATTCCGTGCTTCGTGAAATACGTAATATTTCACCAATATTTCCATGCGTGAAATGTCATTACCTGTCAACTGTCATTAACCAACTCTATAGACGAGGTCATCATCAATATCGTTAGAGAAATGAAATTTCTCTACGATAAAAGTCATCGTGACTTTAAAAATGAAGTAATGATTTACTTATCTGTATGAATAAACGCATACACATTTTGTTTAATGGTTGCGTTTCTCGATTTTACGCGTCCCCAAAAATCGACAGGATCCGTTAAGCTATCGCCTCTTCTGATAGGTTCCGTCAGAGCTCTCGTTGTTGGTGGAGTTGGGCTTGTTCCATCCCAACTCCCAGGTTATACCGGCTCGTCAGTTCCCGGTGAAAAAAGAATTGGCTGGCGCCCGCCTGGCTTGCGGATGCACGAACGACGGGTTGACGGCCGAAGGTAACGTAGGTTGGTTCTCGAAGATAGTCGTTCCCGTATATCTTGCTATCGGTGTCGGGTCAAGTTAAAGAAAAATTACGTTACAAATTATACAGGGTGTTCCGAAACTACCTGACTCGGTGGGTATGGCGGTGTTCGGGAGGCTTCACTGATCACGAAAATGACCTTCCTTTTGTCCGGAAGCTCTTAGTTTTTAAATAGGAGCAGGTCAAAGTTTACCAATCAGAACGAGGCGTCAAGAGAAACGTAGGCACCTACGAACTCTGAGTTTTCTTTCCTCGCTTTTGTTTCTCGGTAGCTTGTTTCTTGTTTCCCATGTCTTCGGCTGACGTCATCCTGCCCGAAGCCACCGAGAAACAAAAGCGAGGGAAGAAAACTCAGAGTTCGCAGGTGCCTACGTTTCTCTTGAAGCCTCCCTCTGATTGGTCAAGTTTGACCTGCTCCTATTTAAAAACTATGTCCTTCTGGAGAAAAGGAAGGTCATTTTCGTGGTCAGTGATGTCTCCCGAACACCGCCACACCCCGTTGGTCAGGTAGTTTCGGAACACCCTGTATATTGACAGATTATGACAGGTAATGACATTTGACAATGACGTTCCGTGCTCCGTGAAATCCTTAACGACCCTAGCAACCGCTATCGTATCGTTGCTATGTATTTTTAACGTAAGCCGTTATAAATTACGGAACCGGGCATGCTCGATGTTACTCAAAAAACACTTACGTGTAAAAAATTCCGCCAAGTACAGGAATACTGTGAATTCCTCTAAAAAAATATTGAAGTCATATTATTAATGCCAAGTGCATAAGTCCACGGAAGCGGGCATGCTCGATGTTACTCCAAAAACACTTACGTGTAAAAAATTACGCCAAATACAGGAATACTGTGAATTCCTCTAAAAAATATTGATGTCATATTATTAATGCCAAGTGCATAAGTCACTAAATACTCATGGTTTCCGGACGGAAGCCGCGTCTGTGTTCAGCTTCGTGCCGACGTTTCGCAAACGTTTCAGTCTGCATCATCAGGGCTAGGAGTCTCCGATACTGAAGCTCCCTGTTGTCAGGAAGTCTTAATATACCTATGATTGCTCATGCGAATCAGTGCTTCAGCCGATCATAAGTTGTTTAGTTGATCAGCTAATCAATTAAAAAACCGGGAGGACGATGTGCCAAATGGGGTTTACTTGATATCCTCGATACCTATTTAGGTTATCTAGGTGTTTTAATATTATATCTCTAAACCTTCGCGATATTTTCGAGCGAAGTAACCTGTAGAACTAGATAGCATTTCTGTCTTTTCATAATCTACTGAATGTCCAGAGTCCATCCAATGTTCTGCTAAGGCAGATTGAGAAAAATTACCGTATTTGGTACACCGTTGATGTTCTTTCATCCATGTACTGATCTTCCTCCCGGTTTCACCTATGTAGACTTTTCCACAGGAGCAAGGGATTTCGTATGCTCCTGGGACACTCAGTGGTGGTCTACGGTCTTTTGTACTGGGAATTATTTGTAAAATCTTTTTTGGAGGTTTGACGATTGTACGAATGTTATGTTTCCGTAGCACCTTGCTGATCCGGTCTGTTGTACCTTGGAGATACGGTAGAGCTACGATTTCGAGATGTTCCTCTCTCTCGGCTGGTTCATTAGAAGATGGGGATACATTTTTATTTTGTAGCTTCCGTAATACATGGTTAATTTGTTTGCTGTGGTATCGATTCCTACCAAGGGCTTCGTTAAGATGTTTGATTTCTGTATCCAAGTGTTGTGGTTGAGAAATGGTTAGAGCCCGGTATATAAGGAAGCTGATGACAGAGCTTTTCTGAGAAGAGTGGTGATGTAAGGAGGCATGGAGGTATCTATCAATATGGGTAGGTTTGCGGTCTAAGAAGAGAAGGTCTCCCCGTTTTTCAATTTCCATGGTAAATCTTATGTTCGGGTGTACTGAGTTTATGTATTCTAGGAACTGAGGCAAGGTGATTATCCCGTGATTCCAGATGATAAAGGTGTCGTCCACATACAGATACCATACCGATGGTTTTAGGGGAGGTGAAAGCAGAATTTTGTTTTCGAAAATGTTCCATAAAAATATTAGTTATAATGAATGAGATTGGGGATCCCATTGCTGCCCCAGATGTTTGTTCATAGAACTCACCCTGGTATTGGAAACAGGTAGATCCCCCAAAAAACACTTACGTGTAAAAAACTACGCCAAGTACAGGATTGCTGTGAATTCCTATAACCTAAATACTCATGGTTTCCGGACGGAAGCCGCGTCTGTGTTCAGCTTCGTGCCGACGTTTCGCAAACGTTTCAGTCTGCATCATCAGGGCTAGGAGTCTCCGATACTGAAGCTCCCTGTTGTCAGGAAGTCTTAATATACCTATGATTGCTCATGCGAATCAGTGCTTCAGCCGATCATAAGTTGTTTAGTTGATCAGCTAATCAATTAAAAAACCGGGAGGACGGTGTGCCAAATGGGGTTTACTTGATATCCTCGATACCTATTTAGGTTATCTGGGTGTTTTAATATTATATCTCTAAACCTTCGCGATGTTTTCGAGCAAAGTAACCTGTAGAACTAGATAGCATTTCTGTCTTTTCATAATCTACTGAATGTCCAGAGTCCATCCAATGTTCTGCTAAGGCAGATTGAGAAAAATTACCGTATTTGGTACACCGTTGATGTTCTTTCATCCATGTACTGATCTTCCTCCCGGTTTCACCTACGTACACTTTTCCACAGGAGCAAGGGATTTTGTATGCTCCTGGGACACTCAGTGGTGGTCTACGGTCTTTCGTACTGGGAATTTTTTGGAGGTTTGACGATTGTACGAATGTTATGTTTCCGTAGCACCTTGCTGATCCGGTCTGTTGTACCTTGGAAATACGGTAGAGCTACGATTTCGAGATGTTCCTCTCTCTCGGCTGGTTCATTAGAAGATGGGGATAGATTTTTATTTTGTAGCTTCCGTAATACATGGTTAATTTGTTTGCTGTGGTATCCATTCCTACCAAGGGCTTCGTTAAGATGTTTGATTTCTGTATCCAAGTGTTGTGGTTGAGAAATGGTTAGAGCCCGGAATATAAGGAAGCTGATGACAGAGCTTTTCTGAGAAGGGTGGTGATGTAAGGAGGCATGGAGGTATCTATCAGTATGGGTAGGTTTCCGGTCTAAGAAGAGAAGGTCTCCCCGTTTTTCAATTTCCATGGTAAATCTTATGTTCGGGTGTACTGAGTTTATGTATTCTAGGAACTGAGGCAAGGTGATTATCCCGTGATTCCAGATGATAAAGGTGTCGTCCACATACAGGTACCATACCGATGGTTTTAGGGGAGATGAAAACAGAATTTTGTTTTCGAAAATGTTCCATAAAAATATTGGTTATAATGGACGAGATGGGGGATCCCATTGCTGCCCCAGATGTTTGTTCATAGAACTCACCCTGGTATTGGAAACAGGTAGATGTCAGGCAGTGTTCAATTAGGAGAAATAGTTTCGAATGAATTTTCTTGGATTTCTTGTTGATTTAAGGGTGAATGGGAACGTTTGTGAACAGTGATTCTACGTCGAAACTTATCCTTTCGAGTTCCTTATCGAATACTACTTGGCAGGTCTTAGGAAACTTTGACGAATTTAGAGCATTCCTGTACTTAGCGCAGTTTTTTACACGTAAGTGTTTTTTGAGGTAAATCCTTCTATGATTACCATTGTGGCTAAATGGTCGTTTCATGAAGTCAGCAGATAGATTGTTCATGTTTATAAATCACATATCGTGTCACGGAGTGGGGTTAAGGGAAAGCCTATGCGTTATGGGAGGCTGAAGTCCATAAAGTTATGCTTTATGGAAGGTTTGACTGTATACTTTATATAATTAGATCGACATATGGATTCGTAGGCTATTACACAAGTTGCTTTATTTTTTATTTTACAATATACTTTTATTATTTAATACCTAGAGACAAATTATAGTAATTGACGATGCACTTGCTTCTGAAGCTTCAGAAGTCATAGTCGAAGTCGAATTACAATGTGGTTGTGATTGTGGTACTGCAATCAACTCTAAATGCATAAATGGTATTAATGAATGCGGTATCTGTAAATGTGATTTTGGCTGGTCTGGTGAGTTCATAATTCTTTATTAACTTGAGTTAATCCGACTCTTAACTATTATGAATTTTCTCAATCTAGGAGAAACTTGTAACTGTAACGAAAATTCTTGGACTGGAAACAAACAGCAGTGCATTTATCCCGGCGAAACAGAAATTTGTTCGGGACGTGGTGAATGCATCTGTGGTGAATGTAGCTGTGATCCCGGTTATAGTGGCCTTTTCTGCGAATGTTCTCCCTGTGATAAGGTAATAGGATAAAAGATATGATAGTAATGACACTTGGTGCGATAATAATGATATCCAAAAATTACATAGATTGACGACGTAGAATGTTCAGGAAGAGGAAGTTGCGACTGTGGCAGATGTTCTTGTTCGACAGGTTGGAAAGGCGAAGGATGTCAATGTCCATCCGATGATAACTTATGCATTCCTCCAGGAGATAATGAAGTTTGTGCAGGACACGGTTATTGCGACTGTGGACAATGTCGGTATGTCAGGTGTGCTAATATTACAGGTTTTGAGTAACAATTGAAAAAAGTTGCATAGCAAAATTTGTCTTTAGCTGTAACGAAACAGCTCCTGATGGCCTCCTTTACCGAGGAACTTATTGTGAGGCAACAGCCGGTGCCGGTGGCAGTGGTTTCTGTAGCTTTTTTGTATCTTGTGTAAACGCAACCATTGAAGAATCAACAAAAGCTCGAGATTCATGTCATACGAATTTTAGTATTTTTCGTACTCAACGAGTTTCCACTCTAAATTCTGGTACGTAAATACAAAATGTCGAATATTTTATAATTAAAATTCTCGAATACAATTATAATAAAACGATCGTTCCTTTAGAAAGCGACCGCTATTGTTTTATTAGGAAAGTGAAAGATACAACTATTTGCACTATTCCATATGTATATGAATTTAACAAAGATAATACTGTTACATTAAATATTGGAGACAAGGTAAATTATTCGTTTTAAACATAATTGTCTATTACGTTAATACATTTATCGTATATAAATTATTATTTTAGACGTGCTACACTCCAATGCCAGCGGCTTTCTTTCCAGGAATTATTTTTGGGGCTGTTGTTCTGTTCGGCATAATAGCTTTACTTATTTGGAAGTAAGGAACATCTTTTTTCACATTATTACGTGCAAACAAATCGTCTAATGTGTATTTGACGCGACATTTTTTTTTGTAGGGGTTGGACGATTATGAAGGACAAGAGAGAATACACGAAATTTGAGAAAGAGCGTCAACAGACAATTTATTCATTAAACGAAAATCCTCTTTACAGACCAGCTATTTCGCACTTCAGAGTACCCTCTATGATCAAAGAGGATTGACATAAGTTTACGATTGGAATTGAAGATCTTTTTCAGTGATTTCTTAACGTCTTTCTTGCGGGCAGTAGCCGATTTTTTTTCTAGTTTCCAGTTGTAAATCATTGAAAACTTTCATTAAGAGTTTTCTCATGGATAGCGTTCCAGAAGTGATTCCCAGGTGTAAAAATAGTTTCCTTTTTAAAAAACCGTATGAAATCACAAAGCATATAATGAATTTGATTGGATACTGTATCTATTATATAAAGATCAGCATCTAAACATGTAGTAGTAACAAATGCTTGTTATTAATACCCCAGAAGCGTATTCGCTATTCCATACAAATCCGAGCGGCTCTCTATAAATTACATTGAGGATTGGCTTATTTTCCTGCCAAGTAGCGTCCACGGATGAACCATCAGGAAACGTGTAAATTCCATGACCGTTTAAAGCACCTTCTACATCGATACCACCTCTATACCTCATACCGTTAGAATATCTGAAATTATCAATGCGTTTGTACATTGAGCTATAGTATACAGCGTGCATAAAATCAAAAGGGCGTACCCCCCAAAAATTTGGGATTTATAACAAGAGGGCATGTAATAACATAATCACACAGAAAGTCACGGAAAAATAAATAGTTCTATGCTCAAAGTCCATACACCTTTTGATATTAATAATATTTTATTTCCTATTAAATCATTAACATTAAGTGAGAGTGCTAAAATATAGATATTTAAAGGAACTTAGAATGTTTGAACAGCCAAAGTAAAAGTGAAATTTCTAAATGTATTGTAGGGTAACCGGTAAAAATACAAAGGTATCCGTTTCAGTATTATTTATTGCTGGAATTCAGAATACACCAATTTTTGTTTATTTCAAATACTTTTATCAATAATAAGGTTATATCCCAATGAAGAAAGACTGAAATTTTGAAATGAATCTGGTTTTGCGACAATTCCGCTACTTCTATTATATATGAAGCATTGTGCAATTTCTTAGAATGGCTATCTTCTACACATCTCACTCTATAAATTGAATCTGAAATGGAATATTAAAAACCTTTCATTACAGAATTTCAAGAAAATTCAAGCTTTTGCATTAACATTGACGGTATTTACAACAATAAATTCCACAAAATTATAATTTTAGATGCAGTCTGTAGAGTGAGGTGTCTAGAAAACAATCATTCGAACAAAATTGCAGGTCGCTTTACTAAAAGTAATGAAATCGTGACAAAACCAAACTCAATCTTTCAAATCTCTCTACAATAGTATATAACTTTATTACTTGAAAGAATATTTGAAATAGACAAAAAATGTTGTACTCCGAATCATAATAATAAATAAATAAGTAATACTTAAGGGGGCATATTAGAGTAGATATATGAAAAAATCAATTTCTTTTATTGCATTTTGCGAAGGATTGATATTTCAAAAATGATCTCTGAAAATTTGAAGTAAAAATCTTAAGAAACGATGGGTATATGGAGAACCATCCGAAGCGAGTTTGAATAGTTGGCGTGCAGCTGTCCTAGGTCGCAAAGTTTTAACGCGATTTTCTTAAAACATGCTTTTTAAAGTCTGTACTTACGATGTTTCAAACATAGTTCATCCGATTTAGTTCAACTTTTGAGACGCTCATCTTTAATACATTTATTAGTCCTCAACAATCAGTTTTTTTTTTAATTTTTAGGTACTTTTATATAAGGATACAAGTAAATTCGAGAACAAAGAAGAGCTTCAACTTGAAATGATGATATTTTTGCTTATAATTTTTTTTTACAATTTGAATCGATTTATTTACTATTTTTTTTAGAAACTATTTTCGGAATGTATGTGTAACTTGTGTCTAACTAAACTTGATCAGTTATCCATCTGACTATATGGCTTAGACTCACTTCTTCCGCCAGAGCCTCCTACGACCTCTGTTTGACATTACGACACTCTCACACGACTCAATGGCTCTATGTTCAATGTCATGGACGCTCATTCTACAAAGCTCCGCATATGAATGAGGCCGACCTCTCTTAACGTAAACGGTATTGTTACTAGCATTAGCAATAGCACTAATTTAAATAAACTTCTAGTCATCCTCTTATCTTCGTATCACATTTTCTGTTTTATATTATACACAATATGTCTTCACTATACACTAATGTATTATGTCAATATTAGGGGGCACATAGCCCTAGGATCAAATAAATATTGCTTTACTTTACTCTACTCTAATATACTGGGTCCGAGATATGTTGGTGTACAACGCAAAGTGTGTAAGTGGGCCAAGCATTCTGTCACCTGCCGCTGTTCATGTATTTCAATACTTTTTTACTTAATAAAAATACAAAATCTACATAAGCATTTGTACTTTACAGTTTAATAAACCTTTGTTAAGCAAAAACTATTTTTCGGTAACAATACCTTCCAATTTCTTAGGAAATTTCATATTGCTAATGCTTTTTTGCTAAAGATAATGTGTTATAAATCAATGAAAATTAATAGAAAACCATTCATTTGGAAATTTTGCTACTGGCTTGACCCAATTTTTAAGCCGTCTATACCGACATGCCCCTTCAAACGGAGAATTTTGTATATTTATCTGTTATCATACAATAAATTCCGAATATCATGTTTACACTTCCTGAGTCCTCTTAACCATTTAAATTTCTTGCATTGCCTTCAATTTCCTTTATCTATTTATTTGTTTATTCATAAAAACATTAAAGATGAAACAAAAATGCAAGAGAACTATTTTTAATGGAACTTAATCACGTCAAAATATAAATAGGATGAAATCACAGCATATAGTATGCTTATAAAAATTTTCATATACAGGGTGTCCCAAAATTACTTGACCAACGGGGTATGGCGGTGCTCGGGAGGCACCACTGATCACGAAAATTACCTTCCTTTTGTCCGGAAGGTCATAGTTTTTAAATGGGAGCAGGTCAAAGTTGACCAATCAGAGCGAGGCGTCACGAGAAACGTAGGCACCTACGAACTCTGAGTTTTCTTCCCTCGCTTTTGTTTCTCGGTGGCTTGTTTCTTGTTTCTTGTTTCCAATAGGCATGTCTTCGGCTGACGTCATCCTGCCCGAAGCCACTGACAAAACAAAAGCGAAGGAAGAAAATTCAGAGCTCGTAGGTGCCAACATTTCTCTTGACGCCTCCTTCTGATTGGTCAACTTTGACCTGCTCCCATTTAAAAACTATGCCCTTCTGAACAAAAGTAAGGTCATTTTCGTGATCAGTGGTGCCTCCCGAACACCGCCATACCCCGTTGGTCAGGTAATTTTGGGACACCCTGTATAAAGTTCCCGTGCTCTTTCTGATAAATGGTAGGCGGTGTTACAATCATTTATATTCGGATTTATGCATACGTTGACGTTCCACACGAAATCGCATTCTATGCTCGTTGCTTTTTGATTATATCTTTAACACTAGATTGCCCAAGGAAGTCATTTTGACTGCTTTTTAATTTCAATTAGAAAAACAATAATGTATATAATGACACAATTTCTTAGAACTTTGTGACTTTTTCTACACATATAAATGCGTTTATTAATAATTGTAGTTCCTCCCCCTTCCTTCATTTCCGGTATATATATATGTGTTATACCTATATTGCCCAAAAGCAGTCATTTTGACTTCTTGGGAAGTTTTAAATAATCAAAGGACTCTTATTATTGAATTGAGTAAATTTCTTATATGACCAGTTCGGCTCTGTTTAGAAATAACAGTTTTCATTTTTTTTCGATTATCGTCACATGATAACATACAAGTGCATGATAAATTGTCGATTTGGGCGTATACTTGATAAGTCGCAGTTGCTCAATAAGCTAAAGTAGTACTTGTTATTCGAATCTTTATGCAGTGATACTTGTTCTAACAAGTTGTTTATTTTATTTCTTTTGCGCCCTAAATTCATGAAAGAAATGTCGAACAGAAGTATATAACTATAAATAATATAAAAAATATTAAAAATTGAATAACTTAGAAAAATCTTTATATTAACATTTTATTTCTTTTCACGATTATTTTTAGTGTGAACTTGTTTAAACGTATCGTGAAAATATCACCTCATACTTGATCTTGTTTAACACTAGAAAGACCGAAACTTAATATACAGGGTGTCCCACGCAACTGGAACAGGCTGTACCTCCTAAACGGTTGGGAATAGAAGATGATGTTATGAGTGAAAGTTAAATGGCATCAGACGGTGCATAATATGCAACTTATTTTTTTGCACTTTTGTATATCGGTGCATTAGAAAAATGCAACTGCACTTTTTTTTTTAATGGAAACCTATATTTTTGACTACACCAGTCGATGCAGTTTCTTATGATCTACATAAAAGTACTAACATACTTATGCTCTAAACTTATGTGTCAGGGAGTTATCGAAGCTAAAAGTTCTCTGAATTGTTTTGGTCTCTCGGCATGTGTTCCGGAGTACCTACGTTATGTTCCATTACATTCGGCAAGAAATATCCAAAATTACGGAAAACGACATCAGGAATGTGTTGCGCAACGTCAAAAAGCGAATGGAAAAATGCTTAAATTGCAATGGAGAACCGTTCGAATACTTGTTATAACGTAAGCACTTAGGAAGACATGCCGAGAGACCAAAACAATTCAGAGAACTTTTAGCTTCGATAACTCCCTAACGCATAAGTTTGTAGTCAAAAATATAGGTTTCCATTAAAAAAAAAAGTGCAGTTGCATTTTTCTAATGCACCGATATACAAAAGTGCAAAAAAATAAGTTGCATATTATGCACCGTCTGATGCCATTTAACTTTCACTCATAACATCATCTTCTATTCCCAACCGTTTAGGAGGTACAGCCTGTTCCAGTTGCGTGGGACACCCTGTATATTAAGTTTCGGTCTTTCTAGTGTTAAACAAGATCAAGTATGAGGTGATATTTTCACGATACGTTTAAACAAGTTCACACTAAAAATAATCGTGAAAAGAAATAAAATGTTAATATAAAGATTTTTCTAAGTTATTTCTTGTCGAATTAAATTATATTTTTTGGATTTTCTTTTTTTTTGGCATATGTATGCGTTTTTTTGGTAATAATGCTTTAAGATAAGATATTAATAACCATAACGCCATAATTATAAATACATTCGCTTTTTTAGTATTGATGACATAATACGTACCCTTTATGGTTCTGCTCTATTCTTTCAGGTATAGAGGGTGTCCGAAAAATGCCTTATCAGATATATACCGCTACAATCGTGATGAAATTCTGAGGAAAACGGTACGCGCAATATTGAAATGTTTAATCAGTTTTAGATTGAAATTGCAATTAAAATTTGAAGATCTCCACTAACCAAGGGGATTAGCTGATCGACAAAAATAGGTGGAGCATCGGATTGGCAAAGTATTATCCCCAATGAATATTAAAATCTCTCTATTCACGCACTTGCTAAATACATCGGTCGAATTAGGCAGAAGAATGTTTCGTCTTCCCGGTCTTTTGTCGTGTTTTCGTAAGATTTCTTTGGGTGTAGGAGGACCCTTGCTTAAGGCAGTATCGTGCTTTAAGAGGCCTAAAAAAAGCGTTATTCCGGGAACTCTTTTAGGACAGAAAAAAATAAGCAAGTGTAGCGAACTTAGAAGATTATTTTATTGCAAATTTGAACATTAAAAAAAATTTTGTTGACCAAAAAATATTCATACACAGCAGATTTTTATGCTCATTTGTGCAACACTTTGCAATTGCAGTCTCCAATCAGTGGGCAAGATGAAGCTCGCAATTTTCGTTTGAAACAAAAAAACCAAAGAAAATTTTAATTTCCATATATTTTTCTTCTATATGAACTAAGAAAAACCCAAAAAATTGTGAAATCTAAAATTTCTCTCAAGTTTGAAAAAAAATGTTTTTTGTGAAAAAAAAACATTTTAACTTGCTGAAAAAGTTGTTTAGAACTTTTTTCATGAATCTTTTTAGTTTAAATAGAAGAGAATACAAAACTGAAGCTAAGAAGCCTTGGTTCGTTTTGATTGGTCGTCTAGTTTTCTTGCAATCACGCCCGCCAGTTTAGAAAAAGCGTAAAAATGAAAACTCGAGAAAACGCGCTTTAAAGTAAAGGAGCGCGCGCTCCAGCTGTCCATACCCCATTGCGTCTAGTGCTGTATATTTGAAAATATTGTGAATTAGCCTCTATAACTTTGAATAGATATTCTTGGATACATTAGGAACAGATTTGGGCAATAAAAAAAATCGATTTTTGGACCCTTTTAAAGCAGGATACTGCCTTAAAGGCCGATTCACATATTTCAGTGCCGTACCGTGCACGTCCGTACACTGACGTAAAAAATTATTTCATAGTTCTAAGTAGGACTGTTCTCATATTTCAGTATGTGTTTCAGTGCTTAAGACATTCACATACAAAACGACGTAACGATGTAAGACGTAACCGTAAGCCGTAATCAGTAAGCGCCATCGCACCACACACGTAAGGAGTAAGCTACGGCCAATCACACTCAAGAAAGAATTGCGTATTTTTATCAAAGTGTCGTCATTGTACATACTAATAATTTATTTTTGTACCTATTTTCTGTTGTAAAAAGTAAGTACACGATAACAATTATGTACTCATACTTAAGGATGTTATATTTTATAAATTGTAACTATATTGAGATGCATGATATGCAGATTAAATTATACTTTTACAGGAAAATCGTTTCATTACTTAGTTCCTAACTTTAAAATTGCACGTATCGCTTTTGTTTTATAATGCGTATTTATTCAATATCAAAGCACATCAAAGCCACTCGTCTCACGTATAAACAATGTTCTTTTAAGCGAGAACGCGAGAAGGTTTGTGATTGGTTGTCCGTAAGAAGTAAGCCGTAACGATTTCATCCTTACAATATTTTTCGCTACTACGGCTTACGTCTTACGGAGAAAAGTGGAGGGGACAGTACTAGATTATCACTGGTTGGTTTCCTTATGCTTACGTCTTACGTCGTTACGTTATTTTGTGTGTGAAGGCCTTCACCGTTCGTGTCAGTATCCGTGCCCAGACAGAGATCTGCGACGATATTTTCACTGAACGGACGGTACTGAACGGTGGCGACACTTCCTTCCTTCCTTCCTTCCTTCCTTCCTTTCTTCCTTCCTTCCTTCCTTCCTTTCTTCCTTTCTTCCTTCCTTCCTTTCCTTATGGCTGTATCCTCGATAGGAGACATGTGCCAGTAACTGGTCCTAATAATCAAGGTTGTAAGTTCGACAATAGATGACGATGTCCCTTGCGAGACGGGCCTTATTCGACTCAGCGTGAGGACCTACAAAGTTTATACACCGAATCCTAACAGTGTTGGGCGAAATCCGTATAAATACTCACCTAAATTTTTCATATTGAAACACATTGGTGAACGCTGCTGGAAGCTGGGCGCGAACCCCGAACCTTTTGGCCGTGAATCCACTACCCTAACCACTGGGCTACGGCCGCCCTCGGTGGCGACACTGTAGCGTTTGAAGGGGTCTCAGTCACAAACAATGGTCGACCAAGAAAGTCGACCAAGCTAACCATCAGTGTAGTTCAGTATAGTTGCGCCGTTTTTGCAAGACGTTCGAGTTGATCTTTTCATTTTGAAACGGACACGGCACTGAAATGTGTGAACATTCTACACTGATGCACACGGATACGGAACGGACCGGAACGGATACGGCACTGAAATGTGTGAATCGGCCTTAATTCGACCGATGTATCTAGCGAGTGGGGGAACTTGTTGATACTCGTTCGGGAAAACACTTCGCTAATCCGATGTCTCACCTACTTTTGTCAACCAGCTAACGCTCTTGGTTGGTGGATATTTTCAAATTTTAATTGGAATTTTCTCTAAAATCAATTTAAAAATTCCAATTTTGCAAGTATCGTTTTCTTCAGAATTTCATCACGATTGTAGCGATATATATATATATCTGATACGGGACTTTTCGAACACCCCGTATAGAGAAGTACATATAAATGTCCTTTTGCCTATTTAAATATCAAAAGGGAGTGAAACTATAATACACTCTTTTGATTTTAGTCAAGATATATTATAACATATATTACAACATATATTATAAAAATTCCGATTTGCTCGCAACACGAGTGGAGAACGTGATAGATACCGTACAGAGAAATTGTGTTTAATCTTGTCGCCGTCCCACGTAGCTTCGTACTTGTCGAAGTTCTCAGTCTGGTAAATTCCGTAATCTAAGACATTTTTTTTTTATTTCGTGATGACAATTTTGACATACTATAATAATTCGATAGCAGCAGCTATATCAAGAAGTACGTTATATATTTCCAATGCTCATGTAGGAAAATATTGAAATCAAATATTTCACAACATACTATCATAATAATTACGTTCTATTTTTATAACCTTGCTTCACCAGAATATGTTTGTCCAGATGAATTTTGTATCCTCCTTCGTACCTATCTCCATTGGGAAAGGTGAACATCCCATCACCCTTTCTGATATTAATATAATTCGCTTCTCCCGCATCGACTACTGATGATTTCGATGTGATAACTCTTTGGCCCGACATTTTCGTGAGTCCTAATATCAACGGTTATCGAAACAGAAGAAGGTCAGATTGTGTCATAGAATAATAGTACTTTGCGATACAACTGCGAGAAAGCGAACTTTATAAGCAGGCGGTGAAGTTGGTCGCACGAGCCGCACATGAGTAACACAACGGCACGAGCCGAAGGCTGTTACGATCAACGAATTTATTTTTCTTGTGGGTGTCAGGAAAATGTTGGTGGGCTTCTTTTAATAAAGAAGCTGTCGTCTAGGTTGAGCAGTTCGTATGTATTTCACGAGAGAGGAGTGTCGTGTACAAATTCCAGACTGATACTAAATTAACCTAGAGAAGGCCCGTCTTTTTATACTAGTGGTTAAGGGTAGTGTGTAAGGTAGGGGTTGCGAAACGGGAAAACGCAGTTCGGGTGTAACGGGACTCTAAAATGGAATTTTGGATTTTTTGGATTAGGAAGGTCTTAGAAAAATATAAACGGAGTATTTTATTAGGGTTGGGATTAACGGTAAGGAAACGGTATTTTGGGAATATCAGGGTGCGGAATTTTATGAAGGATGAGGATAATTAGGAAAAATGCAAAAAACTATAAAACGGTACACGGAACGTGACAAGGCGAGTGCTGTTTGTTTTACGAGTGCGGCGAGTGTGACAAACTTCACGAACTGCGTATAATGTTTGCTTTATTGTACCAGTATCGCATAATATTTTCTGTAACGAATGCATGAAAAACGCTACTTTTTGTGCCTCCAATGTGACTGGAACACCTCTTCGTTGGAGGAGGCAGCATAAGAAGAGCAAAGAAGGCTTCCAAAGTAGTAGTTATACAAGGAGAGTTCTGGATACAGATTCCTGCACCGACATATTACCGACCTGTGGGTTCTTATCTGTGCTAAGTTAGGGACGTGGGGCCCCCTAGGTTAGCGACGTTGGCGCCTCCTGTGTATGGTAAGTTAGAGTGATTGGGCCCCGTATGAAAGATTTTTGCTTACCGACGGCACCGAAATTTTTTTTTTAAGAGGGTGTTGCGCGCGCAGGAGTCAACGGCGCCGATCTCTTCATCGGCTAACGTCATCGGAAGGGAGCCCTAGTTTTACGTCAGGTGTCAGGGATTTTACGTCAGGTGTCAGGGATTTTACGGCAGATTTCAGAAATATTACGGCAGGTATCAGGGATTTTACGGCAGATTTCAGAAATATTACGGAAGATTTTAGGAATTTTACATCAGACGAAATTGTGTACATTAACCTTTTGTACGTTACCGAATTTTGTACTTGCGATCCCGAAGCAGCTCCTACCCTTTACACTTCCCCGCAGACTAGCATATAGAGTCGGTGGAGATCAAGAATGACCCTTCGTATGTCACCGAAGAATTTCGGTAACATTTCATCATTGTCATAACCCCCCTGTTCCTTCATACCCCCCTGTTCCTCTTCCGCCTTCTTCACCCCTATCGTTCCGCTACGATACAGTGGCCTTGGAGAGACGGTAAAATCAAAGGAGGTGTCGAATAACCCTTTGTACGTTGCCGAAAAAATTGTTTATAATAATTTAATGTGCACTATTTATTCGAGAAGAATTCCGATGACATTTCATTATCGTCATACCCCCCTGTTCCTCTTCCGCCTTCTTCACCCCTATCGTTCCGCTACGATACAGTGGCCTTGGAGAGACGGTAAAATCAAAGGAGGTGTCGAATAACCCTTTGTACGTTGCCGAAAAAATTGTTTAGAACAATTTAATGTGCACTATTTATTTGAGAAGAATTGCGCATCGAGACGGTAAGGAGGTGTCGAATAACCCTTTGTACGTTGCCGAAAAAATTGTTTATAATAATTTAATGTGCACTATTTATTCGAGAAGAATTCCGATGACATTTCATTATCGTCATACCCCCCTGTTCCTCTTCCGCCTTCTTCACCCCTATCGTTCCGCTACGATACAGTGGCCTTGGAGAGACGGTAAAATCAAAGGAGGTGTCGAATAACCCTTTGTACGTTGCCGAAAAAATTGTTTACAATAATTTAATGTGCACTATTTATTCGAGAGGAATTGCGCATCGAGACGGTGGATCTTTGATGTCAAAGAATTTAGCAAACCTTTGTATAATGCCGAAATGTAGATCCATGAATTGTTTACTTAATTAAAATTCCTTGACACTCTTAAGAAGAAGAAGAGTGCCCTCTATATAAGGAAGAACTTGGTGTTCTTTCATTAGTTTACCGTCGCAATTCGTCGAGTTTGGAGAAAGAACGTGAACTCAAAGTAAGAATATATTTGAGAAGAAGATTTAATCCAACCTGTGCGAAAATGGACTTCTCAAAAGTTAACAAAGTGGCGCGTCTGGAGGGTTTCCTGCCGAAAAAATTGTTTATAATAATTTAATGTGCACTATTTATTCGAGAAGAATTCCGATGACATTTCATTATCGTCATAACCCCCTGTTCCTCTTCCGCCTTCTTCACCCCTATCGTTCCGCTACGATACAGTGGCCTTGGAGAGACGGTAAAATCAAAGGAGGTGTCGAATAACCCTTTGTACGTTGCCGAAAAAATTGTTTATAATAATTTAATGTGCACTATTTATTCGAGAAGAATTCCGATGACATTTCATTATCGTCATAACCCCCTGTTCCTCTTCCGCCTTCTTCACCCCTATCGTTCCGCTACGATACAGTGGCCTTGGAGAGACGGTAAAATCAAAGGAGGTGTCGAATAACCCTTTGTACGTTGCCGAAAAAATTGTTTACAATAATTTAATGTGCACTATTTATTCGAGAGGAATTGCGCATCGAGACGGTGGATCTTTGATGTCAAAGAATTTAGCAAACCTTTGTATAATGCCGAAATGTAGATCCATGAATTGTTTACTTAATTAAAATTCCTTCACACTCTTAAGAAGAAGAGTGCCCTCTATATAAGGAAGAGCTTGGTGCTCTCTCATTAGTTTACTGTCGCAATTCGTCGAGTTTGGAGAAAGAACGTGAACTGAAAGTAAGAATAGGTTTGAGAAGAAGATTTAATCGAACCTGTGAGAAAATGGACTTCTCAAAAATTAACAAAGTGGCGCGTCTGGAGGGTTTCCTGCCAACGAAAAAATTATCAGAACTGGAGGTTGAAAAAGAATACAAGATTACCAGCATAAGGAAAATTCAAACGAAATTTGGAGCAAGACACATCGTTGACGTGGAGAATAGCTTCTCGGTATTCCTGCCAGCAAGGATCTCGAGGGTTTTGACGGATGATGAGGATTTCTTTCAACGGATGGTTTTGGATACCGCTGAGAATCGGCTTTGTATGCGTTACCTCGGTGGGAAATTCAACCTCATGGAATTTCGATATTTGTAAACGTTCATACTTATGATTTAAATAAATTGCCACGTAAATGACAAAAAATACAACTGCTTATTTCTTTCATATACACACTTTATTCTTAATAAAAAAATATACATTCTATCATCCAAGTCCTTAACGATTTAACATTTTCCATTGCACAATTGAAATGCGGAGCATGGTGATCCGCACATAGGGTAAGTGAATTTTTTCTCAATTTTTGCAGCGAAGGGCAGCCCAGATCTCTCAAGTTCACGATGATTAACGATTGCCCTATAAAATTCCCCAACCAATTGTTCTTTTCCAATCCTTTTACATAAATTCTGGTAGCATCTCGTAAAATAACTCGAAGAATATTTCCGGCTTGGTTATAAGATGTATCGCCAGAGTTCCAAGCCATACCATGAAAGTTGCGTTGTAATCACAAATTCATGCACTTGTATTTCGCTGGAAGAGAGCTCCATGGACACGGTGGTTGAAACAGAAACGTCGCAAGCTCGGAGAAATCACTACCCATGAAAGTTGCGTTGTAACCACAAATTCATGCACTTGTATTTCGCTGGAAGAGAGCTCCATGGACACGGTGGTTGAAACAGAAACGTCGCAAGCTCGGAGAAATCACTACCCACTCCAATCACAGACAGCTCCTTCAAGACAAACTCGTCCGAGGGTTTCTTGAAACCTTGTACGTCCACGATGAACTCCATTGTGACAACTGCTTGCATTGAGATGATCGTAGGGTTCTTATACTAATTCTTTCATCCCACCACTAATTGGATTATATTCTACTATTCGATCATGCAGAATTAAACAGAACGCTGATGTTTCGGTGGGGAAATTTTGGTCTGCCTCGAATTCGAGACGAACGTCGACTGGTCCAAATTTGAGCGACTCATTTTGCTTAGAGCAATCGATGACAATTAGTGAACCATAGTCGAGGAAATCATTCTGTCTCAGTATGGGCTCAGGCTCTTTGCCGTAATAAGTAGCTTGAAAGTTTACATACATCTCGTACAGCAGAGCAAACTGATTTCGATCAATGTCAAGGTTTAGGTTTCCATAGGGGTAGCATTGCGAATTCAATAAGAGTTTAACGTCTCTGACATTGCAATGGTCAAAGTGACTGGCATTCTTATTTTTATTATTCTTTTTGCCAGTTTGGAATCCCAATATAACGTATCGAGGTTTCTCAAGTTGAATGGACGTCTTGACGGTCCACACGTGTTTGGATGTTGTAGGGAGTAGAGAATTCTGGTACAGTTCCTAGGTGCGGAAGCTCATAGGGATGGGTGCATCCTTCTCGATGAATTTCAGCAGTTCTATCTTTCGACGATCGGAAACCTTTACGTACGGTATCAACCATTCCAATTTTTGATTTACAACTTTGCATTCCTCCGGAGCAGTTTGTACAATGGCATTGACATCGCTCTTTGCTCTCGTCAAAATCAACTCATGCTTAGCGTTTACGACGATCTTGCGATAATCTTCGGCAAAGCCTAGTATCATACTCAGTGGTACGGATACGTCAAAGTAACCAGCTGCGTCGGTCAATTTCTCTCCTTGCACCCAACCAGCATTATCCATCACCGAGCGTTGACCAGGAGTCAGGGAAAGGTAGCCCTTCATGAGACTCGTAAGACCAACGTTTTTATTTCGATCGATCTCTATACCATTCATTTCATAGCGAATCTCATCGAAAAGATGACAAATGCCGTTATTAACCAAGGTTGTGTTTGTAACCGCCGTAGAACCATCTTCCTTCACGAGCTTTCCGTATACATGCAGCGAACTTCTACTCGGTAGTAAACACAAGTCTTGATGTTGGACGGAGATTCGTATTTCATCACTGTTGTTGAACGTTGACGATGCATAAGGCTGG